GTTTTACAAAGACCCTTCTGCTTCTATTGTGTGGAATACACTGAGGAGAATTGGTATAAGCTGTTCTTTGAATTTCTGGTAGAATTCTGCACTGTGGCCATCTGGATCTGGGCTTTTTTTTTGTTTGGGAGACTTTTGATGAATGCTTCTATTTCCAAAGGGGTTATAGGTCTATTTAAATTTTGCTTATCTGTTCTTGATTTAATTTTGGCAAGTAATAGCTATCCAGGGAGTCGTCCATTTCCTTTAGATTTTAAAATTGTGTGGAGTACAGGCTTTTAAAATATCACCTGATGATTCTCTGGATTTCCTCAGTGTCCGTTGTTATGTCCCACTTTTCATTTTTGATTTCGTTAATTTGCATGTTCACACTCTCTGGTTTGGTAAGTCTGGATAAAGGTTTGTCTATCTTGTTGATTTTAGAAACAATTTTTTATTACATTGATTTTTTTGTATCGTTTTCCTAGTTTCTGCATTATTTATTTCAGCCATCAATTTGATTAATTCCTGGTGTCTATTCCTCCTGGGTGAGCTTACTTCTTTGTGTTCTAGAGCTTTCTGTTGTATAACTATTCTCCAGTTTCTTCATGTGGGCACTTAGTTCTATGAACTTTTCTTGTAGCACTGCTTTCAAAGTGTCCCATAAGTTTGGGTATGTTCTGTTCTTATTTTCATTGAATTCTAGGAAATCTTTAATTTCTTTTGTTTTGTAGGCAACCAACAATATTGATTGCCTATTTGGTATGACTGGCATATTACATAATTAAGGAATCCTATTACCTCATTAAAACTAATTGCTATTTATCATACTCCAAGTCGAAAATTTTATTTATTTTTTAGATATTTTTTATTTTTAAATTTAAATTAGAAACAAGGTTGCTTCATATGTCAATTCCAGGGCCCTCTCCATTTCCCTCCCTCATTCTGTGCCCTCCCACTACCCCCCAATATCATTGAATTCTATGAAGTCTTTAATTTTTTTTATTTCTTCATTCACCCAGGAATGACACAGTTGCACATTATTCAACTTCCATTAGTTTGTAGGGTTTCTGCAATTTGTGTTGTTGAATTCTAATTTTAACGAATGGTGGTCTGATAAGGTACATGGAGTTATTCCAATTTTTTTGTATCTGTTGAGATTTTATATGTTGCCAAGTATGTGGTCGATTTTTGAGAAGGTTCCATGTGGCACTGAGAAGAAGGTATATTCTTTTTTATTTGGGTGGAATTTTCTATAGATGTCTGTTATTCCCAATTAGGTCATAACTTCTATTAGTTCCTTTGCTTCTTTGTTAAGTTTCTATTTGGTAGTCGTGTCTAGAGGTAAGAGTGGGGTGTTGAAGTCTCCCACTGTATGTGTCTGGGACTTTATATGTGATCTTAGTTTTAGTAATATTTCTTTTATGAACATGGTTGCCTTTATATTTGGGACATAGATGTTCAGAATTGAAACTTCATCTTGGTGGATTTCTCCTGGGATGAGTATGAAGTGCCCTCCTTCTTCTCTTTTGATTGATTTTATTTTGAAATCTAATTTGTTAGATATTAGGATTGCTACCCCCACTTGTTTCTTCAGTCCATTTGATTGGAAAATCTTTTCCCAACCGTTAACTCTGAGGTAATGTTTGTCTTTGAGGCAGAGGTATGTTTCTTCATATGAAGCAGAAGGAAGGATTCTGTCTTCGAATTCATTCTGTTAGCCTGTGTCTTTTTATGGCGCGTTAAGATCATTAATATTGAAGGTTATTAATGACCTTTGATTGCTCATTCTTGTTCATTTTGGAGTGGTTGCTGGTGGTGGAATTCTGTGTGCATTTCCACCCCTTTTCTCTTTTGGCTGTTGGTAAAGTGGGATTATCTATTACCTATGTCCATCTGGTTGTAGCTAACTTCCTTGGATTGTAGTTTTTCTTCTAGAAATTTCTGTAGGGCTGGGTTAGTGGATATGTATTTTTTAAATCTGGTCTGGTCATGGAATATCTTGCTTTCTCCATCTATAGTGTTCGAATGCTTTGCTGGGTATAGCAGTCTGGGCTGGCATCCGTGGTCTCTTAGTGTTGGTAGAATATCTATCCAGAACCTTCTGGCTTTCAGAGTTTCCATGGAGATGTCAGGTGTGATTCTGGTAGGTTTGACTTTGTATGTTACTTGGCCATTTTCCTTTTCTGCTCTTAATATTCTTTCTTTATTCTGTATATTTGGGGTTTGATTATTATGTGGCCAGGGGACTTTTTTGTGATCCACTCTGTTTGATGTTCTGTAAGCTTCTTGTACCTTCATTGGCATGTCTTTCTTAAGGTTGGGAAAGTTTTCTTCTATGATTTTGTTGAATATGTTTTCTGTCCCTTTGAGGTGGATTTCTTCACCTTCTTCTATACCTATTATTCTTAGGTTTGGTCTTTTCAAGATGTCCCATATTTCCTGGATATTTTGTGTTAGGGATTTGTTGGACTTAAGATTTTCTTTGGTTGATGAATCCATTTCTCCTAGTGTATTCTCAACACCTGAGATTCTGTCTTCCATCTCTTGTATTCTGTTGATTATGCTTGTATTTGTAGTATCTGACCATTTGCCCAGCTTTTCTATTTTCAGCATTCCTTCAGACTGTGTTTTATTTACTGTCTCTATTTTAGCTTTCAACCCTTGTACTTTTTGAATTGTTTCTTGTAATTTTTGCTTTGTGATTTCCTCTCTTTCATGCATTTGTTGAAGTTTTTGGTTTGTGTTTTCTTCCATTTCTTGCATTTTTTGGATTGTTTTTTTCCTCCATTTCTTGCAATTGTTTTATTTTTGGGATTTTTCCCCTCTCTTTCTTGTATTTTTTGGTATTTTTTCTTACATGCCTTTAAGGGATTTGCTCATATCTTTTTTGAGAGCCTCTATCATTTTCATGAAGTTGTTTGTAAGGTCTTTCTCATTTGTTTCTTCCCCAATGGACTGTTCATGTATTGCAGGTTTTGATTCTCTAGTTTCTGGTGGTGTCATATTGTTTTTTCTGTTGGTGGGTATGTTTTTGTATTGTTTCCTTCCTATTATTTCTTCCTGTGGGTTCAGTAGGAGTCTCTTCTTCCCCTGTTGGGTATGTGACCACGGTTCCTTTCAGTGGGTGGGAGCAGGTCCAATATCCTGGTGGCTTTCTACTTGCATGGATGGAGGCCATCCTAGTATTGAATCTTAGCAAACTGTGGGTAGGCTGGACCCCTGCCTTGCCTTGCCTGTTCCATGGGTGGAGACCGGGACTTGGAAGCTGGCAGTCTTTGGAGGGCTGAATCTCATTGGGCTGGGATCCAGATCTGCTGTGTGCAGTCCTCAGGTCTTCAGTGTTTCTCGGCCAAGAGCTTATAATTAATATAAGTCTTTGTGTGTTTATTTGGAGCTAGTTGGCTGCAAGACCAGGCTGGAAAGAAATTTTGACAACAAAATGATGCTCAATGTGAAGCAATACAGATTCAATTGCAATAGCAGACATCCCTTCCTCCCTTTGTTTAATGTTTTTTAAACCTGCAGGTCATTATTTTGTGTATATCTTATACCTTGTAGTTTTGTGTTTTTATGTGATTCCTGAGTGTGAGAACATATGTTGCTGCATCTATAAATGATTCTCCTCATGGTGATTCAAAAGAAAATGACCCCCAGTGGCTCATAGAGAGGAGCACTATTAGGAGGTGTGGCCTTGTTAGAGTAGGTGTGACCTATTGGAGAATGTATATCACTGAGAGTTGGGCTTTGAGGTTTAGCAACTCAACTTAGACCCAGTGGCTCACCCTTGTTTCCTGTTATCTGAGGATCCACATATAGAATTCTGAGTCCCTCTCCAGCACTATGTCTTCCTTGCTATGACAATAATGGACTAAACCTCTAAACTGTGAGCCAGCCCCAATTAAATGCTTTCTTTTATAAGAGTTGCTTGGTCATGGTGTTTCTTCACAGCAATAGAACCCTAAGACACCTGTACTTTTTCATTGGCTCCTTTTCTTCTGTTTGCATGTTTTGCCCTGTCTCAACTTATTTGTTTTTGCTTTATCTCGTCTTATTTTATTATTATTCCTTAGATGCTTTTTAAAAAATTTCTAATGACAGACAGAACTCATGTGGATCAGCTGGGAACAGAGGTAAGGAGGAACTGGAATGAACTGAGGGAGACAGGAATTGTAATCAAAATATATTGTATGAAAAAGCATATTTTCAATAAAAGAAAAACATATGTCAAAGGAAAGGATTAGCCTAGACCTTACAATTCTATGAAAACTACTTGTAGTTAGGAACTGAGTCTTAGTATTTCATATATGAAGCATGCAATGTGCTGTAAGCCTGGTCTTACTGAAGAATAAATGTTTACTAAGGGAAACTGTATTAGAAAGTACTGACTTTGGATTTCTTACTAAGAAAGGGAGAGCATTAAAAGCAATGAACTAAACTGAATTCATTTAGTGATTAGTTATGAAGCTAAGAATTTTCTCAAGATTTGGTTGTACAAATATTTTACTTTCTGTCCCAGAACATACTTAAAACATTTCCAATGATTACTATGCAAAGAATTAACTTAATCTTATCTAATCAATTTGTTAGTATAAAACAGCCAATATAATATTTCAAAATGGGATAAGTTAAGATTTTAAAATAATCAACATTAAATTACTACAATTAAAATTATGACTGATTCATGACACAAGAACAAGGACATGAAGAAAATGAATGATGGTTTTTGCTCATTTTTTTTCAAGTCAAGACCCTTAAAGTTGTTGTATTTTAAGAGAAGCAGCTCGCAAAGGAAGGATGCCACTAGACAGTGTTCAAACAGAGTTTTGTTTTTTTCTGCTTGTGTTTTTTTAAATTAGTGATAGGGATCATATAAAGGGGAAAGGTGAGGGGGGAGAACAGGCTCCAGAGACAGGAGCAGAAGGAGAGAGGAGAAAGGAAAGAGGGGGAGAGAAAAAGGGGGAGTGAGAGAGGGAGGGGGACTGAGAGGGAGAGAAGAAAGAGAGAGGGAAGAATAGGAGTTGGGCAGGGCCCTTTTAAAAGGGAATATAGTGAGTGTGCACTATATTGGTTTACAAACCAAGGAACAGTGATCCATTTTAACCACCCCAAAATTCAGGCGTCTCTGGCAGCAAACACCTTCACCATTACAGGCCATGCTGAGACAAAGCAGCTGACAGAAATGCTTCCCAGCATCCTAAACCAACTTGGAGCAGACAGTCCGACTAGTTTATGGAGACTGGCTGAAGCTCTGCCCAAACAATCTGTGGATGGAAAAGCACCACTTGCTACTGGAGAGGAGGATGATGATGAAGTCCCAGATCTGGTGGAGAATTTTGATGAGGCTTCTAAGAACGAGGCAAACTGAATTGAGGAGACTTCTAAAGAAGGAGACACTTGCAGAAGTCACAGGAGCTGCTATTTTCTATCATGACTGCTTTTTAAAATTCTCTTGTTTATGGATCTGATAAAAATCTAAATCTCTAATTTTTAAGCCCAAGCCCCCTGGATACTGAAGCTCTTTTCAGTTTTTGCTTAAACACAATTAATTCTTTGCAGCAAATAAAGCTGAGGAAGCCTGGGAATAAAGTTTGGAAAGAGGTTAATAAATTCTTTTCCTAGTTAAAAAGACAGGACAGTACAGATATCTGAATACTAACAAAAGTCAGTGGGAATTTAATCTTTGGGCTTTAAGACAGCTAGGGTATCTAACTCCAGTTTAGTCATTCAGTAATTTCATTGTGTTACCATAAAATTATATACATATTTTTATAAGGAGCAATTTATTGGGATACTAGCCTTTTTCCCCCTTTGGTTATTTTGAGACAGGGTTTTTTTCTGTGTAACAACTCTAGCTGTCCTGGAACTCTCTGTGGACCAGGCTGAACTCACAGAAATCTGTCTGCCTCTACCTCCTGAGTGCTGGGATTAAAGGCTTGAGCCACCATCGCCTAGCTGGGATACTGGTCTTAATAAAGCATCAGGTTATCCTCTGTATCCCCTTATAATTCACGGCATTTACCTCGTATTAAATGTTGGTCTATCATGGTGGTACATACTTGTAATCCACACAATAAGGATGTACTGGCTGGGGGGATCAGGAGTTCCAGGCAAGCCAGTCCGACCTATTTGGGAAGGTTAGAGGGAGGAAAAGGGAAATGATGTGATTATATTGGAATCTCAAAAATAAAATAAAAATTAATTTGCAGTAGAAAGAATTGGTTCTTTCTTGAGTCATACAAAGCAGAATTGTTCAATTTTAGAATCATCCAGAACAAAATAACAGTTTTAATGTGGCTCAAAGGACTTATGGTAGTGGTGTGGTTTCTTCCAGGCTCTACCATCCACACATTTTGTTGTCTTTCCGTATATCCAGAACCTTAAACAAAGGATGTGATTAAAGTACAGGTCTCTCTCTCTCTCTCTCTCTCTCTCTCTCTCTCTCTCTCTCTCTCTCTCTCTCTCTCTCTCATCAAAACTTAAATCTTGAAAGTTTTCAGAATTGTCATTGAATACTTAGCTCACCAAAATTTTAAGATTTGATTTAAATCTTTTCTTCATATGATAATCCATTTTATGTATAATACTAAGGAGAATTCAATGATTTAATCGTAGACAGGAAAGAGCTCTGTCTGAATCTTTCTACTTACTTCCTTTTAGAAGCCCACCTTATATATTAAGAACTTTGTAAATATTCAGCCTCTTGTAGTGAGATATCCATCCTGCCCATACCTGTAGCACTGACCACACACTTTTGGACGTGGTCACAGGTGAGGACCGGACTAGATCTGGGGTCTTGAATTCCAGAGCTCTGTCTTGCTCCTGGTTGGGTCACAGGGGACATCCTGGGAGCATCCTTGGAGCTGGAACCAGTGGCGGTCACCTGCCAGTTGTGTAAGTGTTATCTCCCTGAATAAACTTTACCTAACCTGTACAGAGTCTAGTGAATCTTGATTCCCATGCAATAGCCACTGGAATGGAAATACTTCTAGTTACAGGTTTCAAAGAAATCAGTAACTTTTGAAAATATTGAAAATATAGTTTGAAACAAAATTAAGGAATAGGGAAATGTTTTCAATGCGGCATTAAGGATATAAAACACCAAAGATTAAACTCCTCTTATGTAGAATGAGGCTTTATTTTAAACATGTAGGAAATAGAAGCAATTATTAATTGTAGGGGCTACAGACATTACTAGCCTCTTAAGAGCATTGCCAATTTGAAAATGTACTATAGCAGATACAAATCAACCAGATAATTATGGTTATCTTAAACCCCAGTGTGTGTATGTTTTTTTTTTATTTTAAACATTGTATTCTTTGGGATAGTTACTTAAGATGTTGACTTTTACTTATAATTTTATACTTATTCTCCATGTTTTAATGAGAGTTCTATGTGCATGGTTTAAACATGTAACATTCAGTAAACTGCAAGCCACCTTCCTTGGTGCAGTTACAGCAGAATGAACAATAAATCACAACTTGTAGTCTGTGTATAGGTCTACTTTTTGTAGGCAAACAGGAAACCATAGCTTACACATCAACCTTTGGGAAATGTGGACAGGTGTAACATTCATTCATGTTGCAGCATGCATTGATCTTTCATTATGTTGTGTTGCAGTGCTATAAACAACCTTGCTTATCTCTTAGCCAGTTGATGGGTATCTCCAGCGTTTCCACTGTAAGACAATTAAAAATGATTCACCTATTAATACTTCTGTACTTGGCTTTGTAATGACATGTATTTTTAATTTCTTGGGTATATTATTAATAGTGGAGTTTCTGGATCATATGGCAAGAATTCCTCATAATTACATAATGTATTGCCATACTGATAAAATCATAGTTCAGTGTGGTTTTGTTTATACTTCTCTAATGACCAACAGTGATGGGTAACTTTTCATTTGCTTACTAGGCATTCATGCATCTTCTTTGGTGCAATATCTAATCAAAAGCATTTGTTCACTTAAAAGTTAGATTATTATTCTTGAGTTGTGCTAATTTTTATTAGTTTCTGGTTCAAATGCTTGATTGAATAGGGTAAGTGAACATTTCTCTCATTCTTTGACTTGATTTTTCATTTTTATAATGGAATTGTCTGAAGTGCATTTTCTTCCGTATTTAGGTTTTAATCATTTTCTAATATGTAAGTATTAAAAGTTGTAAAGTCTTATTTCAACATTGCTTCACCCAAATTCAATTTATTGTTTATTTTTCAAACTTTTTATTAGCAAATTATTTATATTATGGTACAGGTTTCATGATTACATGTTCACACATATAAACAATATGCTTCAATTATATTCACTTTTTACTTTCTCACCTGCCCCTGCCATCTGTTATTTTTGCTTTCTTGTCATTTGTAAAGATACATTTTCATTTTTATTTGCATGTGTGTGTGTGTGTGTGTGTGTGTGTGTGTGTGTGTGTGTGTGAATGCAATGTGAGAGCAGGTACAAGAAAGAGGTGTCAGATCCTGTAGAAAAGAAACTACAAGTTGTTGTGATCTGTCTGAGTGGAGTGTTGCAAACTTCATTTGGGTACCCTGCAAAAGTATCATGTGTTCTTAAGTGTTAAGCTGTCACTCCAGACACCCTAAATCAGTAAATTTTGATTTATTAATTTTGTGTATTCAGTAGGAAAAATAATTTTTTTGTAATTTCTTTTTTGAATCTATAGTTATTTTAAAATATGTTGCTTAATTTTCAAGTGTTTTATGCTTTCCCAGGTTTCTTTCTTTTACTTAAGATTCAGTTCTGCTGGGGTTGGAGAACATACTTTGTATATCAATCTTTTAAATTAACGGATGTTGCGGGATTCTGGTCTTGAAGAACAGCGGAGCACTGACCTTGAGTTTACGGCTTCTCAAGTAAGTGACTTCTCCCTCAATAAATATCATAATGCATCCCTATCTGTGTAGCTTAATCTTTCCATGGTAAACGGAGGCTTGTTGTATGACCTAACCTATTTTATCCTAAAGATAATTCCTTGTATACTTTGAGGAATTCATCCAAGGATGAGTTAGTTGATAGTTATGCTAATGTTCCATGAACATGTTGATTTTCTCTGCAGATATTTTAGATATTACTGAAGATGGGTATTAAAATCACATTTTAAAAAACTTTTTGAAATCAGTTTTTGCTATGGGTAGGCATCTGTTATTAGTTGAAAGTATGGTTATTATATTCTTCTGATATAATTATTCATGCCATAATTAAAGGTTTATTTTTAAAAATCGTATTTTTGATATAAATTTTATATCATATTACCATGGCTATTCTTTCTTTCTATTACTATTTAAGTGGTAATTTCCTTTTACATATGTTTTGAATCTAAGGCATTTATTTTTGTAGACATTATGCAATTGTATATTTTTCTTGTGATTTCTTACTCTCTTTGTGTCATTCTGGGAATCAAACCCAAGGACTTATGTATGCATGCTAGGTTAGCACTTTATCATCAAACTATAGTCCCAGCCTCTGTTCCTTTTGAACTAAGCTCTTTCTCTTTCTGGCTTGTCAAGTTGTCAAGACAGGGTTTCTCTGTATATCCCTGACTGTCTTAGAACTTGCTCTATAGATCAGGGTTGCCTTGAAATCAGATTGGCCTGTCTCTGCCTCCCAAGTGTAGGGATTAAAGGTGTATGGTATCACCCTCACCCAGTGAAGGCTGTCTCTTTACAAGCAGTAATTTCATTGTTACAATGAACTATTCTAATTTTTTGTCAATCTGTTTTCTGAATGTTAGTTGTTGGCCCATGGATTAAAACATTCATTTCAACTTGTCACTATTTTTTCAGATGGGTACTAACAATTCTAGTCCTTTTCTCTTCTTTTAGCCTGCCTTTAGATATTAAACTTTTAGGTTTTAAATATATTATATATATCTTTCCTGAAGTTCACCTTTGAATCATGGCTCTAATTTTTTTGTAGAATACTGTGATTTTTCTACATGGCAAGAAAAGACATATCTGACATTCTTCAACCTGTAGACTTACATGATTTCTATCAATAGGCAACACTTTCTTTGAAACTGAAATGTCTCCTGCAATGCTGGATCTCTTTTGGTAGAACACACTAACAGCTCAAACATTCCTCAAGTCTCACTGAGTTTTACTTCTGTGTGGTCAATTCCAGTTTCCACATGTATGTTCAGAGCATCATAGTTGGCCAGAAGTACATGGAGTAACTTGTAATGTTGGCTTTGCTATTCATGTCCATAGCCTTGTGAAGGATGCTGCTCATTCTGTAAGCACCAAAACTAAGGGCTAATCAAACAGAACCTGACATCTAACTGACAAAGCACAAGGAGCCATCTATTGTCACAGATGAGGGTATTCCCATGCTAGAATGTAATACAGTTTTATCATTTAAACCTCAATGTCAGCAGCTGTGCTAAAGTTATCATGCTTTTATGAGTATTTGCCAGAGAATGGAGTTTCTGATGCTCTTTTATTTTTGCCATTTATTTCCCCTCTAGGAAAGGACTTACTGTTTCCACCACTTAACTGTAGCCATTAGTCTCATTAAAGGACAGGGGAATAATGTTGATACAAGAAATAATGAAAATAAAATATAGTTTATCTCATATGCCTGGATGAAGTATTTCTGTCAAAATGTAGCCAAATTCTGACTGATGTCTAGGCATTAGTATATGAGCTAGCCGCTAACCAAAACAAATATTGATTTTCTATTGTGGATAAAGAAAATAGCTGGGAAAAAACAGAAATGGGCACTCTATGAAAATATTTTCCCACTTCAATTCTGCCATGCAGCATTTAGAAAAGTATATGTTTGGGTAATTTAGGGCTAACTTAATATTGAAAAAAACTCTTGGTTGAGATGAGGATCAGATTAGTTATTATCAATTTAATGCTATCAGAATTTATAGATTGTTTTAGTGACTGGACTTGGGTAATATGCAGGAAGATTTTCTCTTGATAAATGTCTTACATTGCCTTGTTTTCAAATTTAAATTAGAAACAAGGTTGCTTCACATGTCAATCTCAGCTCCCTCTCCCTCCCCTCCTCCCACACCCTCCCACCAACCCACCACCCACAATCTCCCTCCATTCCCCAGGGAGAGTAAGGCCCTCCATGGGGGATATCCCGAATCTGTCATTTTTTTAGTGGATTTAAACTTTGAGAGAGTTCTTGTCCTAGTTTGTTTATCTGCCTCTTATGGATATCTTTTTTATTTTTTATTTTTTTAAATTTAAATTTAAATTAGAAACAAGGTTGCTTTACATGTCAATTCCAGGTCCCTCTCCCTTTCCCTCCCCTCCTCCTGCATCCTCCCACCAACCCCCCCAATATCCCCTTATTTCCCTAGGGAGGGTGAGGCCCTCCATGGGGGTGTCCATAGTCTGTCATATCATCTAGGGCAGGGCCTAGACCCTCCCCAAGAGTCCAGGGTGAGAGTGCATCTCTTATGGATATCTTGAAAATTAATATTTAATTTATAGTTTAGTGCCTCAGAAAGCCTCTTGGATGATGTATAATTCTACTGATAATGTGTGAAATGAAAAGCATCTGATTTATTATTACTTTTTGGAAACAGAGCTACAGTGAATGTGTTGAGAAGTTACTTAGTTTATTTTTTGTTAAAAGTTGATAATATTTAGAACTAGGTTTCAAAATATATACAATTGCACCGGTAAACTTTTATAGAAATGGACATTTGAAATTATGCAACAAAAACTCAGCAGTTTGAATTCATGATAAATAAGGATGAAATTAATACACAAATCAAAAATGTTTTTTCATAAAGGGGACTAAACACAAATACTTATCCTCTGGGGCATCTGATAGGGTTCCATAGTGATAATCCTGCTGGAAGCAGAGAAATAAAAAATAGGACATGTGTTTGCAGTGTAGATCTGCCTCTCATCCCTATTGGATGCAAGGTTAGCTGGAAGTTTCCCCTGTCTGCTATTGTTCAGCATCATGGAAGATTGTGGCCCAGGAAAAGACCACAATTAAGAGTGAAAGATATGATTTGCATTGACTATGCATTTCTCTGCACTAGTAGAAAATACTATTGTAATTTGAAGAAGATCTATTTTATAAAGATTCTGAAAAGTGAAGAAAGTGTCCTCTTGTCTGATATTAGAAAACATGTGATAAAACAGTAATTATTTTATCTGGATTAAACCACCAGTGTGTGAGAGACTACGCCTTAATACTGGCTTAGAAAGCAGAAGGGAAATATGAACATTTTCCAAGTGAAAGGCTAGTCCTGTTTTATTAATATATGGCTTCTCTGTTTGCCATTATAGATGAAGAGCAATTCCCATAGCGTTGTTACCGCAACATGCCAGTCTTTGTTATATCTAACAGCTTATGCAGTCTTTCCCAGTGATCTGCGTATTAGCAGAATAAGGCTTACACTGCCTCTTTCTGTTGTTTGGTATTAGTTATCTACTGCTACCACAAATATACTGACTTTAAATCATACAAATTAACATTCTGTTTCAGCTGTCATAAGAACAGGGATTGAAAGTTGTTACTTCAATCCCAGTAAGAAAAAAATACTGGATAAAATAGGAGTCAATCTCTCTTAGTTATGTCTGAGATCTGATATGTTCAGAAAATCAGCACTTGGAACTTTGGAGTGACAGGTATATCTAGAAGGTTGTAATTAACATATGATTATGACTAGAATAGACATGACTACTGTTGTGTGTTTTCATGAGTCTTTACATCGTAAATCTGATGAATGACTAAGGTTGAGTGTAGAACATGAGGGAGAAGTTTGTGTATTATAAGAATGTTCACATTTCTTATGTTTTATCTGCATAGGACCCACCAAAGTGATGGCCTAAGTCTCATCCTTGACACTTTGCCCACAAGGGAAGGAAAGTAATTATGTGAAGTATAGACAGAGCCTTATCCAAGACAGAGACATAGAGTCCAATCAAGCCCTTTACAAGAGATGTATACTGGGACTGCATGTGGGGAAAGTCATCTTAGACCAACCTTTTTGGTTGTTCTTCCTTTGGTGTCTAAGAGGGAAGAGGGCCCAAGCAGAACCATTTATGCCTGTCACTGCCCAGGAACAATGGTCTATAAAACTATGTATTTTATTTGAAAAGTACCTAATGCCCCTTTCTACATTTTAACAAGACTCCAACAGTTGGGCCTTCAGTATGGATTGTTTCCAAAACAAATGAGAGTTGCACCCTAGGAGAAGTACTTTAGGGAAACACAAAATTCAGAGGGAAGATAACAACCACAGACACTAATTTCTTGGCTGCATAGGTCTGACAAATGTTATCTCATTTAGTTGGGAGATTAACATTAATCTTCCCATTGGAAGCCCACTTACTTCAATTTCTGTTGACCTGTACCCTATGTCTGATTTTCAACAAATGATCACCATGGATACACAATAGAAGAAAAGGTGAGATGAGACGAAGGGAATATCAAAGTTATGTATAGCTATGATACTAAATGTGAAAATTGACTGGAAATTTAAAAGTCCCCAAATGGAAATGAAAGAAAGGAGGTCAAAAACAAAGCTAGCAGAAGAGCAATGGAAAGTCTGGGAAAATGTCCCTGTAACATGTAGAATTAGCCTAATAAACAAAGCAGAAAGGTAAAGAGGAAACATTTGAGGAAATGATGTGTGAGTCCTTTCTAAAATTGACAAGGGCCTCCAATCCACTCATACAAAAAGTTTCTGAACACCCAGAAAATTGTGTACTAAAAACCAACCAATCTAACAATAAAACAAAAATGATACCTAAGAACACCTAAGAACAAATTGCAGCAAATCATAGGTCAAGAGAAGTTACTGACATTAGTGGGAGAAAATAAAGAAAAATAAATGCAGCTCACCAGAAGAGAGACAAAGATTAGAATGGCATTGGTCCACTCTTCAGAACCCCTTTAAGCAACATGTTTCAGATTTTCTTTGCTGTGACAAAAGACAAACAACTTAAGGGTGTGTGGATTTATTTTGGAACAACTTCAGGGCCTTCAGTACATTCCAATGGGGAGAATGGGATAGCTCCTGGTCAGGAAGGAGAGAGAGGGAGAGAGGAGAAAACAGGTGTGTAGGAGACAGTGTGCCTATGCTAAGAGATATTCTCCTTTACTCACTGTATTTAGTTCAAACCTCCCAGATTATGGAATGATGCCTCCCACACTCATGGCAGCTCTACTTAGTCTTTTCCTGGAATACCCTCACTTGTATATGTAAAACTGTATTTCTCTAATCTCCTAGGTTATTATCAATGCAATCAAGTATGCAGTCAAGATTAAGAATCACATCAGACAAGAAAAAAGCTAAAACATTTAATGTTGAAAGGAAAAAAATACCAATCTCAATTTCTATTGTAATGGGAATTATCTTTCAAAGTTAAAGGAAAAATAATTCTAGCCAAATTATGTGGGAATTTACTTTCACCAGAAATATCCTGACAGAAAATGCTAAATGCTGGTTCTCACTGAGTACTGCAATAAAATGAAATATCAGAAACTGGGCTCTTCATGAAGAAAGAGAATTATAATAAGGAACAAATAATTAGAAAATAAAAACCCTCTTTTATACTTTTAATGACTTTTCTTTATTATTTTAATATATTTATTATTGTACATAACACTTAATATATTTTCATATTGTATTTTTACTGTTTAGTATCAATTTTATGAGAATTTCATATGTGTATACAATAGATTTTAATCATATTCATCTCCCACTCATATCTCACAATCCCCACATCCCTCCTATGTCCTCTCCACTTCACATCTTCTTCTTTTGTCTTTTTGTGTAGTATAACATATATACATGGGACTGTAACGGATGGAAGCAGAAGCAAACACCCTCAGCTAAACACTGAACTGAACTCTTGGAATCCAGTTGCAGAGAGGAAGGAGTGATAAGCAAAGGGATCAAGACCAGACTGGAGAAACCCATAGAAACAGCTGACCAGAACAAGGGGTGGCTCATGGATCCCAGTCTGATAGCTGGGAAACCAGCATAGGACTGTTCCAGACAACCTGAAGGAGGATGTCAGTTTGGAGGTCTAGTTAATCTATGGGGCCTCTGGTAGTGGATCAGTATTAATCCCTAGAACAAGAATGGACTTTGGGAGCCCACTCCACATAGAGGGATATTCTCTCAGTCTAGACACATGGGGGAGGGTTTAGACCCTGCTCCAAGTGATGTGACAGACTTTGAAGATCCCTCATGGAAGGCCTCACCCTCCCTGGGGAGCAGAAAAGGGGTGGGGGTAGGGGAGGAGAGAAGGAAGAGGGAACTGGGATTGACATGTTAAAAAAGCTTGTTTCTAAGTTAAATTTTAGAAACAATTTTTTATTACATTGATTTTTTTGTATCGTTTTCCTAGTTTCTGCATTATTTATTTCAGCCATCAATTTGATTAATTCCTGGTGTCTATTCCTCCTGGGTGAGCTTACTTCTTTGTGTTCTAGAGCTTTCTGTTGTATAACTATTCTCCAGTTTCTTCATGTGGGCACTTAGTTCTATGAACTTTTCTTGTAGCACTGCTTTCAAAGTGTCCCATAAGTTTGGGTATGTTCTGTTCTTATTTTCATTGAATTCTAGGAAATCTTTAATTTCTTTTGTTTTGTAGGCAACCAACAATATTGATTGCCTATTTGGTATGACTGGCATATTACATAATTAAGGAATCCTATTACCTCATTAAAACTAATTGCTATTTATCATACTCCAAGTCGAAAATTTTATTTATTTTTTAGATATTTTTTATTTTTAAATTTAAATTAGAAACAAGGTTGCTTCATATGTCAATTCCAGGGCCCTCTCCATTTCCCTCCCCTCATTCTGTGCCCTCCCACTACCCCCCCAATATCATTGAATTCTATGAAGTCTTTAATTTTTTTTATTTCTTCATTCACCCAGGAATGACACAGTTGCACATTATTCAACTTCCATTAGTTTGTAGGGTTTCTGCAATTTGTGTTGTTGAATTCTAATTTTAACGAATGGTGGTCTGATAAGGTACATGGAGTTATTCCAATTTTTTTGTATCTGTTGAGATTTTATATGTTGCCAAGTATGTGGTCGATTTTTGAGAAGGTTCCATGTGGCACTGAGAAGAAGGTATATTCTTTTTTATTTGGGTGGAATTTTCTATAGATGTCTGTTATTCCCAATTAGGTCATAACTTCTATTAGTTCCTTTGCTTCTTTGTTAAGTTTCTATTTGGTAGTCGTGTCTAGAGGTAAGAGTGGGGTGTTGAAGTCTCCCACTGTATGTGTCTGGGACTTTATATGTGATCTTAGTTTTAGTAATATTTCTTTTATGAACATGGTTGCCTTTATATTTGGGACATAGATGTTCAGAATTGAAACTTCATCTTGGTGGATTTCTCCTGGGATGAGTATGAAGTGCCCTCCTTCTTCTCTTTTGATTGATTTTATTTTGAAATCTAATTTGTTAGATATTAGGATTGCTACCCCCACTTGTTTCTTCAGTCCATTTGATTGGAAAATCTTTTCCCAACCGTTAACTCTGAGGTAATGTTTGTCTTTGAGGCAGAGGTATGTTTCTTCATATGAAGCAGAAGGAAGGATTCTGTCTTCGAATTCATTCTGTTAGCCTGTGTCTTTTTATGGCGCGTTAAGATCATTAATATTGAAGGTTATTAATGACCTTTGATTGCTCATTCTTGTTCATTTTGGAGTGGTTGCTGGTGGTGGAATTCTGTGTGCATTTCCACCCCTTTTCTCTTTTGGCTGTTGGTAAAGTGGGATTATCTATTACCTATGTCCATCTGGTTGTAGCTAACTTCCTTGGATTGTAGTTTTTCTTCTAGAAATTTCTGTAGGGCTGGGTTAGTGGATATGTATTTTTTAAATCTGGTCTGGTCATGGAATATCTTGCTTTCTCCATCTATAGTGTTCGAATGCTTTGCTGGGTATAGCAGTCTGGGCTGGCATCCGTGGTCTCTTAGTGTTGGTAGAATATCTATCCAGAACCTTCTGGCTTTCAGAGTTTCCATGGAGATGTCAGGTGTGATTCTGGTAGGTTTGACTTTGTATGTTACTTGGCCATTTTCCTTTTCTGCTCTTAATATTCTTTCTTTATTCTGTATATTTGGGGTTTGATTATTATGTGGCCAGGGGACTTTTTTGTGATCCACTCTGTTTGATGTTCTGTAAGCTTCTTGTACCTTCATTGGCATGTCTTTCTTAAGGTTGGGAAAGTTTTCTTCTATGATTTTGTTGAATATGTTTTCTGTCCCTTTGAGGTGGATTTCTTCACCTTCTTCTATACCTATTATTCTTAGGTTTGGTCTTTTCAAGATGTCCCATATTTCCTGGATATTTTGTGTTAGGGATTTGTTGGACTTAAGATTTTCTTTGGTTGATGAATCCATTTCTCCTAGTGTATTCTCAACACCTGAGATTCTGTCTTCCATCTCTTGTATTCTGTTGATTATGCTTGTATTTGTAGTATCTGACCATTTGCCCAGCTTTTCTATTTTCAGCATTCCTTCAGACTGTGTTTTATTTACTGTCTCTATTTTAGCTTTCAACCCTTGTACTTTTTGAATTGTTTCTTGTAATTTTTGCTTTGTGATTTCCTCTCTTTCATGCATTTGTTGAAGTTTTTGGTTTGTGTTTTCTTCCATTTCTTGCATTTTTTGGATTGTTTTTTTCCTCCATTTCTTGCAATTGTTTTATTTTTGGGATTTTTCCCCTCTCTTTCTTGTATTTTTTGGTATTTTTTCTTACATGCCTTTAAGGGATTTGCTCATATCTTTTTTGAGAGCCTCTATCATTTTCATGAAGTTGTTTGTAAGGTCTTTCTCATTTGTTTCTTCCCCAATGGACTGTTCATGTATTGCAGGTTTTGATTCTCTAGTTTCTGGTGGTGTCATATTGTTTTTTCTGTTGGTGGGTATGTTTTTGTATTGTTTCCTTCCTATTATTTCTTCCTGTGGGTTCAGTAGGAGTCTCTTCTTCCCCTGTTGGGTATGTGACCACGGTTCCTTTCAGTGGGTGGGAGCAGGTCCAATATCCTGGTGGCTTTCTACTTGCATGGATGGAGGCCATCCTAGTATTGAATCTTAGCAAACTGTGGGTAGGCTGGACCCCTGCCTTGCCTTGCCTGTTCCATGGGTGGAGACCGGGACTTGGAAGCTGGCAGTCTTTGGAGGGCTGAATCTCATTGGGCTGGGATCCAGATCTGCTGTGTGCAGTCCTCAGGTCTTCAGTGTTTCTCGGCCAAGAGCTTATAATTAATATAAGTCTTTGTGTGTTTATTTGGAGCTAGTTGGCTGCAAGACCAGGCTGGAAAGAAATTTTGACAACAAAATGATGCTCAATGTGAAGCAATACAGATTCAATTGCAATAGCAGACATCCCTTCCTCCCTTTGTTTAATGTTTTTTAAACCTGCAGGTCATTATTTTGTGTATATCTTATACCTTGTAGTTTTGTGTTTTTATGTGATTCCTGAGTGTGAGAACATATGTTGCTGCATCTATAAATGATTCTCCTCATGGTGATTCAAAAGAAAATGACCCCCAGTGGCTCATAGAGAGGAGCACTATTAGGAGGTGTGGCCTTGTTAGAGTAGGTGTGACCTATTGGAGAATGTATATCACTGAGAGTTGGGCTTTGAGGTTTAGCAACTCAACTTAGACCCAGTGGCTCACCCTTGTTTCCTGTTATCTGAGGATCCACATATAGAATTCTGAGTCCCTCTCCAGCACTATGTCTTCCTTGCTATGACAATAATGGACTAAACCTCTAAACTGTGAGCCAGCCCCAATTAAATGCTTTCTTTTATAAGAGTTGCTTGGTCATGGTGTTTCTTCACAGCAATAGAACCCTAAGACACCTGTACTTTTTCATTGGCTCCTTTTCTTCTGTTTGCATGTTTTGCCCTGTCTCAACTTATTTGTTTTTGCTTTATCTCGTCTTATTTTATTATTATTCCTTAGATGCTTTTTAAAAATTTCTAATGACAGACAGAACTCATGTGGATCAGCTGGGAACAGAGGTAAGGAGGAACTGGAATGAACTGAGGGAGACAGGAATTGTAATCAAAATATATTGTATGAAAAAGCATATTTTCAATAAAAGAAAAACATATGTCAAAGGAAAGGATTAGCCTAGACCTTACAATTCTATGAAAACTACTTGTAGTTAGGAACTGAGTCTTAGTATTTCATATATGAAGCATGCAATGTGCTGTAAGCCTGGTCTTACTGAAGAATAAATGTTTACTAAGGGAAACTGTATTAGAAAGTACTGACTTTGGATTTCTTACTAAGAAAGGGAGAGCATTAAAAGCAATGAACTAAACTGAATTCATTTAGTGATTAGTTATGAAGCTAAGAATTTTCTCAAGATTTGGTTGTACAAATATTTTACTTTCTGTCCCAGAACATACTTAAAACATTTCCAATGATTACTATGCAAAGAATTAACTTAATCTTATCTAATCAATTTGTTAGTATAAAACAGCCAATATAATATTTCAAAATGGGATAAGTTAAGATTTTAAAATAATCAACATTAAATTACTACAATTAAAATTATGACTGATTCATGACACAAGAACAAGGACATGAAGAAAATGAATGATGGTTTTTGCTCATTTTTTTCAAGTCAAGACCCTTAAAGTTGTTGTATTTTAAGAGAAGCAGCTCGCAAAGGAAGGATGCCACTAGACAGTGTTCAAACAGAGTTTTGTTTTTTTCTGCTTGTGTTTTTTTAAATTAGTGATAGGGATCATATAAAGGGGAAAGGTGAGGGGGAGAACAGGCTCCAGAGACAGGAGCAGAAGGAGAGAGGAGAAAGGAAAGAGGGGGAGAGAAAAAGGGGGAGTGAGAGAGGGAGGGGGACTGAGAGGGAGAGAAGAAAGAGAGAGGGAAGAATAGGAGTTGGGCAGGGCCCTTTTAAAAGGGAATATAGTGAGTGTGCACTATATTGGTTTACAAACCAAGGAACAGTGATCCATTTTAACCACCCCAAAATTCAGGCGTCTCTGGCAGCAAACACCTTCACCATTACAGGCCATGCTGAGACAAAGCAGCTGACAGAAATGCTTCCCAGCATCCTAAACCAACTTGGAGCAGACAGTCCGACTAGTTTATGGAGACTGGCTGAAGCTCTGCCCAAACAATCTGTGGATGGAAAAGCACCACTTGCTACTGGAGAGGAGGATGATGATGAAGTCCCAGATCTGGTGGAGAATTTTGATGAGGCTTCTAAGAACGAGGCAAACTGAATTGAGGAGACTTCTAAAGAAGGAGACACTTGCAGAAGTCACAGGAGCTGCTATTTTCTATCATGACTGCTTTTTAAAATTCTCTTGTTTATGGATCTGATAAAAATCTAAATCTCTAATTTTTAAGCCCAAGCCCCCTGGATACTGAAGCTCTTTTCAGTTTTTGCTTAAACACAATTAATTCTTTGCAGCAAATAAAGCTGAGGAAGCCTGGGAATAAAGTTTGGAAAGAGGTTAATAAATTCTTTTCCTAGTTAAAAAGACAGGACAGTACAGATATCTGAATACTAACAAAAGTCAGTGGGAATTTAATCTTTGGGCTTTAAGACAGCTAGGGTATCTAACTCCAGTTTAGTCATTCAGTAATTTCATTGTGTTACCATAAAATTATATACATATTTTTATAAGGAGCAATTTATTGGGATACTAGCCTTTTTCCCCCTTTGGTTATTTTGAGACAGGGTTTTTTTTCTGTGTAACAACTCTAGCTGTCCTGGAACTCTCTGTGGACCAGGCTGAACTCACAGAAATCTGTCTGCCTCTACCTCCTGAGTGCTGGGATTAAAGGCTTGAGCCACCATCGCCTAGCTGGGATACTGGTCTTAATAAAGCATCAGGTTATCCTCTGTATCCCCTTATAATTCACGGCATTTACCTCGTATTAAATGTTGGTCTATCATGGTGGTACATACTTGTAATCCACACAATAAGGATGTACTGGCTGGGGGGATCAGGAGTTCCAGGCAAGCCAGTCCGACCTATTTGGGAAGGTTAGAGGGAGGAAAAGGGAAATGATGTGATTATATTGGAATCTCAAAAATAAAATAAAAATTAATTTGCAGTAGAAAGAATTGGTTCTTTCTTGAGTCATACAAAGCAGAATTGTTCAATTTTAGAATCATCCAGAACAAAATAACAGTTTTAATGTGGCTCAAAGGACTTATGGTAGTGGTGTGGTTTCTTCCAGGCTCTACCATCCACACATTTTGTTGTCTTTCCGTATATCCAGAACCTTAAACAAAGGATGTGATTAAAGTACAGGTCTCTCTCTCTCTCTCTCTCTCTCTCTCTCTCTCTCTCTCTCTCTCTCTCTCTCTCTCTCTCATCAAAACTTAAATCTTGAAAGTTTTCAGAATTGTCATTGAATACTTAGCTCACCAAAATTTTAAGATTTGATTTAAATCTTTTCTTCATATGATAATCCATTTTATGTATAATACTAAGGAGAATTCAATGATTTAATCGTAGACAGGAAAGAGCTCTGTCTGAATCTTTCTACTTACTTCCTTTTAGAAGCCCACCTTATATATTAAGAACTTTGTAAATATTCAGCCTCTTGTAGTGAGATATCCATCCTGCCCATACCTGTAGCACTGACCACACACTTTTGGACGTGGTCACAGGTGAGGACCGGACTAGATCTGGGGTCTTGAATTCCAGAGCTCTGTCTTGCTCCTGGTTGGGTCACAGGGGACATCCTGGGAGCATCCTTGGAGCTGGAACCAGTGGCGGTCACCTGCCAGTTGTGTAAGTGTTATCTCCCTGAATAAACTTTACCTAACCTGTACAGAGTCTAGTGAATCTTGATTCCCATGCAATAGCCACTGGAATGGAAATACTTCTAGTTACAGGTTTCAAAGAAATCAGTAACTTTTGAAAATATTGAAAATATAGTTTGAAACAAAATTAAGGAATAGGGAAATGTTTTCAATGCGGCATTAAGGATATAAAACACCAAAGATTAAACTCCTCTTATGTAGAATGAGGCTTTATTTTAAACATGTAGGAAATAGAAGCAATTATTAATTGTAGGGGCTACAGACATTACTAGCCTCTTAAGAGCATTGCCAATTTGAAAATGTACTATAGCAGATACAAATCAACCAGATAATTATGGTTATCTTAAACCCCAGTGTGTGTATGTTTTTTTTTTATTTTAAACATTGTATTCTTTGGGATAGTTACTTAAGATGTTGACTTTTACTTATAATTTTATACTTATTCTCCATGTTTTAATGAGAGTTCTATGTGCATGGTTTAAACATGTAACATTCAGTAAACTGCAAGCCACCTTCCTTGGTGCAGTTACAGCAGAATGAACAATAAATCACAACTTGTAGTCTGTGTATAGGTCTACTTTTTGTAGGCAAACAGGAAACCATAGCTTACACATCAACCTTTGGGAAATGTGGACAGGTGTAACATTCATTCATGTTGCAGCATGCATTGATCTTTCATTATGTTGTGTTGCAGTGCTATAAACAACCTTGCTTATCTCTTAGCCAGTTGATGGGTATCTCCAGCGTTTCCACTGTAAGACAATTAAAAATGATTCACCTATTAATACTTCTGTACTTGGCTTTGTAATGACATGTATTTTTAATTTCTTGGGTATATTATTAATAGTGGAGTTTCTGGATCATATGGCAAGAATTCCTCATAATTACATAATGTATTGCCATACTGATAAAATCATAGTTCAGTGTGGTTTTGTTTATACTTCTCTAATGACCAACAGTGATGGGTAACTTTTCATTTGCTTACTAGGCATTCATGCATCTTCTTTGGTGCAATATCTAATCAAAAGCATTTGTTCACTTAAAAGTTAGATTATTATTCTTGAGTTGTGCTAATTTTTATTAGTTTCTGGTTCAAATGCTTGATTGAATAGGGTAAGTGAACATTTCTCTCATTCTTTGACTTGATTTTTCATTTTTATAATGGAATTGTCTGAAGTGCATTTTCTTCCGTATTTAGGTTTTAATCATTTTCTAATATGTAAGTATTAAAAGTTGTAAAGTCTTATTTCAACATTGCTTCACCCAAATTCAATTTATTGTTTATTTTTCAAACTTTTTATTAGCAAATTATTTATATTATGGTACAGGTTTCATGATTACATGTTCACACATATAAACAATATGCTTCAATTATATTCACTTTTTACTTTCTCACCTGCCCCTGCCATCTGTTATTTTTGCTTTCTTGTCATTTGTAAAGATACATTTTCATTTTTATTTGCATGTGTGTGTGTGTGTGTGTGTGTGTGTGTGTGTGTGTGTGTGTGAATGCAATGTGAGAGCAGGTACAAGAAAGAGGTGTCAGATCCTGTAGAAAAGAAACTACAAGTTGTTGTGATCTGTCTGAGTGGAGTGTTGCAAACTTCATTTGGGTACCCTGTAAAAGTATCATGTGTTCTTAAGTGTTAAGCTGTCACTCCAGACACCCTAAATCAGTAAATTTTGATTTATTAATTTTGTGTATTCAGTAGGAAAAATAATTTTTTTGTAATTTCTTTTTTGAATCTATAGTTATTTTAAAATATGTTGCTTAATTTTCAAGTGTTTTATGCTTTCCCAGGTTTCTTTCTTTTACTTAAGATTCAGTTCTGCTGGGGTTGGAGAACATACTTTGTATATCAATCTTTTAAATTAACGGATGTTGCGGGATTCTGGTCTTGAAGAACAGCGGAGCACTGACCTTGAGTTTACGGCTTCTCAAGTAAGTGACTTCTCCCTCAATAAATATCATAATGCATCCCTATCTGTGTAGCTTAATCTTTCCATGGTAAACGGAGGCTTGTTGTATGACCTAACCTATTTTATCCTAAAGATAATTCCTTGTATACTTTGAGGAATTCATCCAAGGATGAGTTAGTTGATAGTTATGCTAATGTTCCATGAACATGTTGATTTTCTCTGCAGATATTTTAGATATTACTGAAGATGGGTATTAAAATCACATTTTAAAAAACTTTTTGAAATCAGTTTTTGCTATGGGTAGGCATCTGTTATTAGTTGAAAGTATGGTTATTATATTCTTCTGATATAATTATTCATGCCATAATTAAAGGTTTATTTTTAAAAATCGTATTTTTGATATAAATTTTATATCATATTACCATGGCTATTCTTTCTTTCTATTACTATTTAAGTGGTAATTTCCTTTTACATATGTTTTGAATCTAAGGCATTTATTTTTGTAGACATTATGCAATTGTATATTTTTCTTGTGATTTCTTACTCTCTTTGTGTCATTCTGGGAATCAAACCCAAGGACTTATGTATGCATGCTAGGTTAGCACTTTATCATCAAACTATAGTCCCAGCCTCTGTTCCTTTTGAACTAAGCTCTTTCTCTTTCTGGCTTGTCAAGTTGTCAAGACAGGGTTTCTCTGTATATCCCTGACTGTCTTAGAACTTGCTCTATAGATCAGGGTTGCCTTGAAATCAGATTGGCCTGTCTCTGCCTCCCAAGTGTAGGGATTAAAGGTGTATGGTATCACCCTCACCCAGTGAAGGCTGTCTCTTTACAAGCAGTAATTTCATTGTTACAATGAACTATTCTAATTTTTTGTCAATCTGTTTTCTGAATGTTAGTTGTTGGCCCATGGATTAAAACATTCATTTCAACTTGTCACTATTTTTTCAGATGGGTACTAACAATTCTAGTCCTTTTCTCTTCTTTTAGCCTGCCTTTAGATATTAAACTTTTAGGTTTTAAATATATTATATATATCTTTCCTGAAGTTCACCTTTGAATCATGGCTCTAATTTTTTTGTAGAATACTGTGATTTTTCTACATGGCAAGAAAAGACATATCTGACATTCTTCAACCTGTAGACTTACATGATTTCTATCAATAGGCAACACTTTCTTTGAAACTGAAATGTCTCCTGCAATGCTGGATCTCTTTTGGTAGAACACACTAACAGCTCAAACATTCCTCAAGTCTCACTGAGTTTTACTTCTGTGTGGTCAATTCCAGTTTCCACATGTATGTTCAGAGCATCATAGTTGGCCAGAAGTACATGGAGTAACTTGTAATGTTGGCTTTGCTATTCATGTCCATAGCCTTGTGAAGGATGCTGCTCATTCTGTAAGCACCAAAACTAAGGGCTAATCAAACAGAACCTGACATCTAACTGACAAAGCACAAGGAGCCATCTATTGTCACAGATGAGGGTATTCCCATGCTAGAATGTAATACAGTTTTATCATTTAAACCTCAATGTCAGCAGCTGTGCTAAAGTTATCATGCTTTTATGAGTATTTGCCAGAGAATGGAGTTTCTGATGCTCTTTTATTTTTGCCATTTATTTCCCCTCTAGGAAAGGACTTACTGTTTCCACCACTTAACTGTAGCCATTAGTCTCATTAAAGGACAGGGGAATAATGTTGATACAAGAAATAATGAAAATAAAATATAGTTTATCTCATATGCCTGGATGAAGTATTTCTGTCAAAATGTAGCCAAATTCTGACTGATGTCTAGGCATTAGTATATGAGCTAGCCGCTAACCAAAACAAATATTGATTTTCTATTGTGGATAAAGAAAATAGCTGGGAAAAAACAGAAATGGGCACTCTATGAAAATATTTTCCCACTTCAATTCTGCCATGCAGCATTTAGAAAAGTATATGTTTGGGTAATTTAGGGCTAACTTAATATTGAAAAAAACTCTTGGTTGAGATGAGGATCAGATTAGTTATTATCAATTTAATGCTATCAGAATTTATAGATTGTTTTAGTGACTGGACTTGGGTAATATGCAGGAAGATTTTCTCTTGATAAATGTCTTACATTGCCTTGTTTTCAAATTTAAATTAGAAACAAGGTTGCTTCACATGTCAATCTCAGCTCCCTCTCCCTCCCCTCCTCCCACACCCTCCCACCAACCCACCACCCACAATCTCCCTCCATTCCCCAGGGAGAGTAAGGCCCTCCATGGGGGATATCCCGAATCTGTCATTTTTTTAGTGGATTTAAACTTTGAGAGAGTTCTTGTCCTAGTTTGTTTATCTGCCTCTTATGGATATCTTTTTTATTTTTTATTTTTTTAAATTTAAATTTAAATTAGAAACAAGGTTGCTTTACATGTCAATTCCAGGTCCCTCTCCCTTTCCCTCCCCTCCTCCTGCATCCTCCCACCAACCCCCCCAATATCCCCTTATTTCCCTAGGGAGGGTGAGGCCCTCCATGGGGGTGTCCATAGTCTGTCATATCATCTAGGGCAGGGCCTAGACCCTCCCCCAAGAGTCCAGGGTGAGAGTGCATCTCTTATGGATATCTTGAAAATTAATATTTAATTTATAGTTTAGTGCCTCAGAAAGCCTCTTGGATGATGTATAATTCTACTGATAATGTGTGAAATGAAAAGCATCTGATTTATTATTACTTTTTGGAAACAGAGCTACAGTGAATGTGTTGAGAAGTTACTTAGTTTATTTTTTGTTAAAAGTTGATAATATTTAGAACTAGGTTTCAAAATATATACAATTGCACCGGTAAACTTTTATAGAAATGGACATTTGAAATTATGCAACAAAAACTCAGCAGTTTGAATTCATGATAAATAAGGATGAAATTAATACACAAATCAAAAATGTTTTTTCATAAAGGGGACTAAACACAAATACTTATCCTCTGGGGCATCTGATAGGGTTCCATAGTGATAATCCTGCTGGAAGCAGAGAAATAAAAAATAGGACATGTGTTTGCAGTGTAGATCTGCCTCTCATCCCTATTGGATGCAAGGTTAGCTGGAAGTTTCCCCTGTCTGCTATTGTTCAGCATCATGGAAGATTGTGGCCCAGGAAAAGACCACAATTAAGAGTGAAAGATATGATTTGCATTGACTATGCATTTCTCTGCACTAGTAGAAAATACTATTGTAATTTGAAGAAGATCTATTTTATAAAGATTCTGAAAAGTGAAGAAAGTGTCCTCTTGTCTGATATTAGAAAACATGTGATAAAACAGTAATTATTTTATCTGGATTAAACCACCAGTGTGTGAGAGACTACGCCTTAATACTGGCTTAGAAAGCAGAAGGGAAATATGAACATTTTCCAAGTGAAAGGCTAGTCCTGTTTTATTAATATATGGCTTCTCTGTTTGCCATTATAGATGAAGAGCAATTCCCATAGCGTTGTTACCGCAACATGCCAGTCTTTGTTATATCTAACAGCTTATGCAGTCTTTCCCAGTGATCTGCGTATTAGCAGAATAAGGCTTACACTGCCTCTTTCTGTTGTTTGGTATTAGTTATCTACTGCTACCACAAATATACTGACTTTAAATCATACAAATTAACATTCTGTTTCAGCTGTCATAAGAACAGGGATTGAAAGTTGTTACTTCAATCCCAGTAAGAAAAAAATACTGGATAAAATAGGAGTCAATCTCTCTTAGTTATGTCTGAGATCTGATATGTTCAGAAAATCAGCACTTGGAACTTTGGAGTGACAGGTATATCTAGAAGGTTGTAATTAACATATGATTATGACTAGAATAGACATGACTACTGTTGTGTGTTTTCATGAGTCTTTACATCGTAAATCTGATGAATGACTAAGGTTGAGTGTAGAACATGAGGGAGAAGTTTGTGTATTATAAGAATGTTCACATTTCTTATGTTTTATCTGCATAGGACCCACCAAAGTGATGGCCTAAGTCTCATCCTTGACACTTTGCCCACAAGGGAAGGAAAGTAATTATGTGAAGTATAGACAGAGCCTTATCCAAGACAGAGACATAGAGTCCAATCAAGCCCTTTACAAGAGATGTATACTGGGACTGCATGTGGGGAAAGTCATCTTAGACCAACCTTTTTGGTTGTTCTTCCTTTGGTGTCTAAGAGGGAAGAGGGCCCAAGCAGAACCATTTATGCCTGTCACTGCCCAGGAACAATGGTCTATAAAACTATGTATTTTATTTGAAAAGTACCTAATGCCCCTTTCTACATTTTAACAAGACTCCAACAGTTGGGCCTTCAGTATGGATTGTTTCCAAAACAAATGAGAGTTGCACCCTAGGAGAAGTACTTTAGGGAAACACAAAATTCAGAGGGAAGATAACAACCACAGACACTAATTTCTTGGCTGCATAGGTCTGACAAATGTTATCTCATTTAGTTGGGAGATTAACATTAATCTTCCCATTGGAAGCCCACTTACTTCAATTTCTGTTGACCTGTACCCTATGTCTGATTTTCAACAAATGATCACCATGGATACACAATAGAAGAAAAGGTGAGATGAGACGAAGGGAATATCAAAGTTATGTATAGCTATGATACTAAATGTGAAAATTGACTGGAAATTTAAAAGTCCCCAAATGGAAATGAAAGAAAGGAGGTCAAAAACAAAGCTAGCAGAAGAGCAATGGAAAGTCTGGGAAAATGTCCCTGTAACATGTAGAATTAGCCTAATAAACAAAGCAGAAAGGTAAAGAGGAAACATTTGAGGAAATGATGTGTGAGTCCTTTCTAAAATTGACAAGGGCCTCCAATCCACTCATACAAAAAGTTTCTGAACACCCAGAAAATTGTGTACTAAAAACCAACCAATCTAACAATAAAACAAAAATGATACCTAAGAACACCTAAGAACAAATTGCAGCAAATCATAGGTCAAGAGAAGTTACTGACATTAGTGGGAGAAAATAAAGAAAAATAAATGCAGCTCACCAGAAGAGAGACAAAGATTAGAATGGCATT